TGGGACACCTGGGTGGCTCAGTCGGTTGAGGTCCAACTTGATTTCAGCTCAGCTCATGAGATTGAGCCCCACATTAGTCTCTGTGCTGGGTGTGGAGTCTGCTTAAGATTCTCTCTCCCCCCTCCTCCCTCTTCACCCCCTCCATCCCTAAAAAAAAAATAAACTTAAAAAAATAGATCAATAAAGATTATGCAGTATAAAGAAGAGACATCTTGAGGTTAACTACCTAAAATACAATTTTCAGAAGATGTAGGACACCAACCTATGTATGAGAAAACCAGGAGAGGAAAGAAAGGGACAGAAATTGTATCTAAAGAAATAATGGCTGAAGACTTTCCAAATTTGATGAAAAACAATAATCTACAAACCTAAGAAGTTTGATAAACACTAAAAGACCCACACTCAAAATGATGAAAGCCAAACAAAACAAAGTCTTGAAAGCAACACGAGGGGCACCTGGGTGGCAGAATCCATTGAATATCCAACTCTTGTAGTATACCTAGGTCGTTCAGTGGCTGAACACCTGCTTTTGGCTCAGAGCATGATCCTAGGGTCCTGGGATCGAATGCTGCATCAGGCTCCCCAAAGAGAGCCTGCTTCTCCCTGTGCCTATGTCTCTGCCTCTCTCTATATGTCTCTCATCAATAAATAAAATCTTTAAAAAATAAAATAAAAATAAATTAGAAAAGTAAACATTCTGACTCTTGCTTTCGACTCAGGTTGTGATCTCACAGTTGTGAGAGTAGTCCCACAGGCTCTGTACTCAGTGGGGAGGCTGCATTAGACTCTAATTCTCCCCTCCTCTCTAAAATAAATAAATCTTTTTTTTTAAAGATTTTATTTATTTATTCATAGAGACAGAGAGAGGCAGAGACACAGGCAGAGGGAGAAACAGGCATCATACAGAGAGCCCAACGTGGGACTCGATCCAGGGTCTCCAGGATCACGCCCCGGGCTGCAGGCAGCACCAAACCACTGTGCCACCAGGGCTGCCCTAAAATAAATAAATCTTAAAGAAAAGAAAGAGAAGAGAAGAGAAGAGAAGAGAAGAGAAGAGAAGAGAAGAGAAGAGAAGAGAAGAGAAGAGAAGAGAAGAGAAGAGAAGAGAAGGAAGAGAAAGAGAAAGAGAAAGAGAAAGAGAAAGAGAAGAAAAGAAAAGGAAGGAAAAGAAAAGAAAAGAAAAGAAAAGAAAAGAAAAGAAAAGAAAAGAAAAGAAAAGAAAAGAAAAAATGGCTCATCATAAACATAGAAACTACAATAAAATTAATACCTGAGGTCTCAACAGAAATAATGGAGAAGAGAAGGCAGTAGAGGCATTTAAGATATTCAAAATGCTTAAAACACAAAACTATCAACCAAGAATCCTATATTCACCAAAGCTATGTTGCAGAAATAAAGATGCAATAAAGATGTTCCCAAACAAAAACTAAGATACTTTTGGAGCTCCTCGGTGGCTTAGTCAGTTAAGCAGCCTACTCACTGACTCTTGGTGTTGTTGGTTCAGGTCATGATCTCAGGGTCATGAAATAGAGCTACACATCATTCTCTGCACTCAGCACAGAGTCTGCTTGTCCCTCTCTTTCCCCCTCTGCCTTTCTCCCTGCTTGCACTCTCTCTCTCTAAAATAATTTTTTTTTAAATCCTAGGGAAAAAAAACAAAACTAAGATACTTTGTTGCTCCAACCCCAACTAACAAGAAATACTAAAGGAAATTATTTGGGCTAAAATCAAGTGACATGAAAAAATAACTGCAATAGACACACATACACACACAAGAAGTTCCACAGTTTTATCTCAATAAAGCAAATCTTTTTTTTTTAATTTTTTTTTAATTTTTATTTATTTATGATAGTCACACAGAGAGAGAGAGAGAGGCAGAGACACAGGCAGAGGGCGAAGCAGGCTCCATGCACCAGGAGCCCGATGTGGGATTCGATCCCGGGTCTCCAGGATCGGGCCCTGGGCCAAAGGCAGGCGCCAAACCACTGTGCCACCCAGGGATCCCCTCAATAAAGCAAATCTTAAATGTAACAGGCCAATTAAAAATCACATGTAAAATATCTCTTACAAGGGGAATTATACAGGAAATTTTAGTAACAAGACAGCATGATTGGGTATTTCTTTCTCATTCTTCTCTTCATTTAAAAGGCATTAAATAGCACTGGGGCAACTGGGTGGCTCAGTCAAGCATCTGCCTTTGGCTCAGGTCATGATCCCAGGGTCCTGGGATTGGGCCCCATATTGGGTGCTATGCTCAGCAGGGAGACTGCTTCTCCCTCTCCCTCTGCCCCTTCATCCTGCTCCTGCTCTTTAGATAGACAGATAGACAGATAGATAAATGGCAATAGCATAAAACAATGTCCATAAGTTGTATTGCTGCAACTATAACATGCAGAAATGTAATATTTTTGACAATGAAAACACAATGAAAGAGGATGCGAATAAAGCTATATTGGGACTTAGGCAGTAACACCAGATGGTAACTTGAAGCCATAGGAAGAAATGAAGAGAAACACAAATGGTAACTACGAATACCTGCACACACACAAACAAGCTGTGTAAATATATTTGTGGTTTCCTCCTCTTAGCTTTAGAAGACTTAAGATTAAATAGAGCAATAATTTTTACAATATATTGTTGAGTTTATAGTGTGTGTGTGTGTGTGTGTGTGTGTGTATATATATATATATATAGACATAATGTATTCAATAGTAACAGCATGAAAAGGGAGAAGGGGATGCAGACCTTTGGGAATGAATTTCCTAACTTACTGCAGTTAAATAGATTCCAATAAGGTAAACATAAAGCCTAGAGCAACCACTAAGAAAATAACTGAGGGTACCTGGGTGGCTCAGTTAGGCATCGACTCCTGATCTCAGCCTGGGTCATGATATTAGGTTGAGTTTGAGCCCTACTTCAGGCTCCCCACTCAGCATAGAGTCGGCTTAGGATTTTCTCTTTCTTTCTCCCTCTTCCCCTGCCCCTCCCCTCACTCACTGGAACTAAATAAAATCTTAAAAAAGAAAAGGCCCCAAGAGTATAATTTAAAAATGATGAAGGAATGAAAGGGTACACTAGAAAATACCCACTTGAGAAAGGGTACTCTAAGAGGAAAAGAGAGGTAACAAAGTAGTCATAAGACAATGCAAACAAAAAGTAAATGTCAGGGGACACCTGGGTGGCTCAGTCAGTTAAGTGTCTTACTTCAGTTCACATCATGATCTCAGGGTCCTGGGATTGAGCCCCCCCCCCTGCCGCAATGGGCACCCTGCTCAGTAAGAGTCTGCTTGTCCCTCTGACTCTCCCCCTGCTGTAACTCTCTCTCAAATAAATTAAAATTTTAAGAAGTAGAATAGCAGGCATAAATCCAACCATATTAATAATACCATTTAATGTGAATATACTCCAATCAAAAGGCAGAAATTAAGAAGCTAAACTAAAAAAAAAAAAAAAGGGTTCCATATAGTATCTACTGTTTTTGAAAGTAAAACTGAGGAGGAGCCTGGTGGCACAGTCAGTTAAGTGACTGACTCTTTGTCCTGGCTTTGCTTTTGGTAAGATCAATCCCCACATCAGGCTCCATGCTCAGCATGCTCAGCATGCTCTCCTTCTGCCCCTCCCACTTATGACCTCTAAAATAAATTATTTTATTTTATTTATTTATTAAATTTTTATTTTATAAATTTATTAAAGATTTTATTTATTTACTCATGAGAGAGAGAGAGGCAGAAACATAAGCAAAGGGAGAAGCAAACTCCATGCAGGGATCCTGATGTGGGACTCAATCCAGGGACTCCAGGATCACACCCTGAGACCAAGGTAGGTGCTTAACTGCTGACCCACCCAGGCGTCCCAATAAATTTTATTTTAAATCTTATTTAAGTACAAATAACTTAAAAATATAAGAAAAAGATATACCATGCAAATGGCAACCGTAGGATGGCTAGGTGGCTATCACTGTATCAGACAAAAACAGACTCTTGAAACAAAACATTTTTATAAAAGAGGGGCACCTGGGTGGCATATTCAGTTAAGCATCCAACTCCCAATTTTGGCTCAGGTCATGAGTTTGATCTCTGCCTCAGGCTCAGCACTACACATAGAGCCTACTTAAGATTCTCTCTCCCTATCCCTCTGCCCTTCCTCACCTCCACTCATGATATCTCTCTTAAAAAAAAAAAAATTAGGGATCCCTGGGTGGCGCAGCGGTTTGGCGCCTGCCTTTGGCCCAGGGCGCGATCCTGGAGACCTGGGATCGAATCCCACGTCAGGCTCCCGGTGCATGGAGCCTGCTTCTCCTTCTGCCTATGTCTCTGCCTCTCTCTCTCTGTGTGTGTGTGTGACTATCATAAATAAATAATAAAAAATTTTTTAAAAAATTAAAGAGGAGTATTTTATAATAATAAAAAAGGTTAATACATCAGGAAGATAAAACAATTATAACTGTGTGTATATACATATATACATACTAAAAGAGAGACCAAAAGAACCCCAAGACATATCAAAGTAGAAATAATTTGATAATTTTTAAATCTTAGCTACTAGATCGAGGAGGGAAAAAATGTAAAGTAACTGAGGATTATTGAGGAAATGCTCCCAAACAACAAAAATCGTATCTAAATAAAATGTTAAGTATGTGAATAAAGCTATACTCAAGAGGCAAATTCATAGCCTGAAAGTTTTCACTTAAGGAAAATAAAAGTTGTATTTTAACCTAATTTTTATTTTTTTAATATAACAGAATATTTAATTACACTAGTTTCTCATCAACACACTAGTGATTTAATAATGATTATACCGGGGAAGAATCCCTGGGTGGCTCAGCGGTTCAGCACCTGCTTTTGTATGTCTCTGCCCGCCCCTCTCTCTCTCTCTCTATCCCCCTCTCTCTATCATGAATAAATAAAATCTTTAAAAAGTAAAAATAAAAATAATGATTATACTAGCCATTTCCATTGGTTGGCAGGAGGTTCTTCCACTAAAGGCTTCCATGGTTTTCATTATATCATTTTTCTTGCCAGACTTAGTTCATTTTCCACCTGAAGAATCACCTCTTCAAGTTGGCCACCCTGAAGTTGATCTAATTGCTTATCGTCTGATTCTATTTTAACCATACTCAGTTTCTTATTTGTAATCTGTTTTGTATACTTTCTATATGCTGCATTTTTAGGAATTTGCTCAAGAACATCAAGACTCTTTGTGTACAATATTCTTAGCCTCTCATGTGGATTCTCACATACAGCCAATCCCACAAAGTCGGTGGTTTTCTTCAACAAGCCCACCATGAAAGCGCGGATAGGCTGGGGAAACATAGCCCTCTTAACCTAATTTTTTAATAAAACAAACAGGGCTCATATCAAAAGGATTCAGGGACCAAATTTCAACTCCACCTAAGAAGCAGTTGAAAACATCATTCCAAACCTAACAAGTCACTTAAACCACAAAAACATAGCTCTTCTTATACCTGAAAGGTGCAGTAGTGAGGCAACTAAGTAGCCTGAAATCCAAAGAGACACACACTCTTTCCACAACTCCCTAAGCACCACAAGGTGTTCAGACTATCCATCAATGGTAGAGAGCAAGGAGAAAGATATGCAGATAAGAAGAAATCAGTCAAAATTTTAACACACTGCTAAAGTTGATTGTGGGTTAGTATGACAATGTAGAACCACTGGAGCCATTGACAGAGAGTTCTTACCCACTCTTACCCACTCATAGACTCTACTACTCCATGAACTTTTATAGGATGCTCATGGGGAAGACTGACAAAAGGAGACAAAAGCATCCAAAATAATCTCCCTTGGTGGTGCAGGCATGTAGAAGCAAATCAGTTACTACTGATGGTAAGATATGAAATTCCACCTCTTGTCCAGACACTCCTTTCAGAGCCTTAAGCATTCAGGGGACTGGCAGGAAACTCTGTCACCTCCAAGGCATGGGTAAAGACCCACCATGATTAGGAATACAAAGGGAAAAAATCTTTACAGGTAGGCAAGGGACAGGAAAAATTCCCTAACCCAAATTCCCACAATACTATTAGAGTTTTTCCAGTGCTGGAGGGAAGCCAAGAAGCGCTCTTCCTTACGAGTCTTTCCAAAGAGACAAATATAAGTTTGACACTGGTGAGGAGGAAAGGAATGGTGAAACTCCTAAGGCCCAGATATACAGGGCCTACTTAGCATGTCTGACAAAACATCAACTCTTAAATTCATAATTTAATCTAGATACTATAATCCCAAAAGTTCCAAATCTCATCTTCTGCATCATCTAAATCAGATATGGGTGACTCTGGTTGGCCCTGCGGCAAAATTCCTTCCCATCTATACCCTATGAAATAGGGAAATGTTATCTGCCTCCAAGATACAGCGGTAGGATAAGTATAGTATAGACAGTCCCGTTTTAAAGGGAGAAGTTAGAAGAAAAAAGGGGTTTACTGAACAAAAAGCAGGTCTGTAACTCAATAGGACATATTTCATTAGGTTCTAAGACCAAGAATAATTCTCTGTAGCATGATGTTCTATCTTCTGAGCCCATTGGGGTAGCTTTGTCCCTTGGTCTTCCCCTAATAATACCTTATGTTTAGGTTGAGGGCTAGAGCATTAGATATTTTACTTCCACAATATTTGTGTTCTACCCCTAGCTTTTAGCCATATCTATTCACCAGTGCCAAAGTGGCTCATTGCTCTCCATGCTCTTTACTTTACCACACGTTTTTTCCCCCGCAAGTCCCAAGTTTGTTCTGCTTACTGTATGACAGGCCAGTATGTCAAGACATGCTCTTGGGGTAGGAAAGGGTCCTTATTCTGAAATCCAGCCCATCAAAGAGGTGGCAGACTACTGTCCGAAAAAACCATCTCCCCAAGCATGGGATTTGAGATTTTTCTGTTAGGAAGGGGGGAAGTGGGAGGGGTTGGAGACAAAAGGTGGCTGATGTTTGTAGACATCAAGGAAGGTTGAGTAACTTCTTTGTTCTTGATCAGTTGGTCTTTGCGTACAGGATGATGTTGTGCCTGTAAATCTTAAATAAAGCACAGTCATTTGTGTACATATTTCCTTATCTCCTTGGGTGAGGCAGAGTTGAAGTAAAAAGCAGTTTTTGCAAATCTTAGCTATAATATGCCTACAGGCAGGGCTAGTCAGAAGTTTCTAAGTTTAGGTTACAACAGAAAGGGACAAAGAAGCAATAGGGAGTCAGATATTGATACAGGAATGGATTAAGACTTCGAGAGATGCTGGGATGAAATAAAAGTATTTTGCACGTAGTAAGAACACGAATTGCGGGGGGGGGGGGCGTAATAGATTACTATGTGTTGGACTGTGTCCCTCAAGAAAACTATGTAAAGTCCTAATAACCTCCAGTAACTCAGAATGTGGCCTTATTTGGGAAAAGGATCACTGCAGATGTGATTAGTTAAGATGAGGTCACAGTGAGGTAGAGAAGGCCTCTAATTCAATAGATAGACCTGGTCCTTCCAAGAAGATGGCCAGTTGAGGACACAGAGACAAAAGAAAAGGAAGAACACTGGGGTGAAAAAGCAGAGACCAGGGTGAGAAATCCATAAGCAACAGAATGCCAAAGATTGCCAGCCACCACCAGAGACTGGGAGAGAAGCCTTGAACAGATTCTCCCTCATAATCCTCAGAAGGAACCAATGCCAATACCTAAATTTCAGACTCTTACAGCTTCTCTAACTGGGAAAGAATAAAGCGCTTTAGGTAAAAATTCCAATGAAATGTTCATGTGAAGAAAATCCAAGAGAAATGCGGTGACACAAAAAGTATTCAACACCTTCAAAAAAGTACAATTTATAAAGAAAGCATCAAGCTTATCTTTATACTCTCATAAAGATCTATATGCACCCCATGACATAGAGCACACCAATCCAGTAGCTTACTTTAAACCTGACTTTTTGCAGCTAAGATGCATCCCTTTGTTACCTTGTCCTTGTGGAGAAGAAAGGTACCTGGCTTATCTCCTTAAAAAAAATAAATAGATAAAAATTCCCTGTGTTAACTGGGAATTTGGGTGGTCACAGTTTCAGAGCAGGCCAATGCTTTGAACTTTCAAAGAGAAAAACTTAGACCTATAATAGATTTTCTTAAAAAAAAATAGCAAACTACATTCTACAACTATGTACCTTGAAAAAAATAGTAACCTGATCAAACTTAGAATTTGTTGCTAAGTGCTCTACTTCAACTTGACATTATTTCATGGTTTTCTATTACCTGGTGCTGCTGAACATTAGTTGGATAATGAAGTTTCATTACTCCAATTTCAGACCCAAACCATATCCTTATCATTTTTCTTTTATCTGGCATCTCTGATCATCTTATTAGTCCTTGTAATTACAAATATAGACATTTTATTTATACAACCCTGTAAAATAAAACTTCAAATTTTCTTTGGAAATTTGGAAAATTTAACTTCCCCATCCCCATCCCCTCTCTCCAAACCTGCATGTTCTATTTGTAACCTTGCCATTTCCCTTTCTGACTAGTTAATAAATTTTGACTTACATTCAATATAATTTGGTCTAAGAGAAAAAAAAATTGACAGAACAGAATACCTAATCCAGTAGTATGGAAGATAACGGTGAAGAAAGCTCCAAGCTACAGGATTAATGAAAGCAGAGACCTAGCCTGCTTTCCATTGTTGTGGAAAAGCTCACTCTTTCAACATATCCAGATACACAGTTCAACCATTATTTTCTTCATGAAAAAAGAATGGACCATGTGTGTACTCTTGCACAAAATACATTCACTTCTGACAATCCTTACATGTTTAATTTCAACACTGATTTTTAGTGCTACAGATATAACCATTATGGCAAACAGATTTTCCCTCTTAAAAGAAGTAATAATAATTGTCTTTGACAATGAATATCATTTTCATCTTTCACGTGACTTGGAAAACTCCAAGAGAAGTTTTATCATTTTGCCTTTATGTCTCACTACAGCATGCAGAAAATATCAGATTTTAGCCACCTGTGGAGAAAGAGCCAGAGTAAGCGTTATAGCTATTATTGTGTCAATTTTCTGGACCTTGCTGAAATATTTTGTGAATGTGATGTACAACTTCCTTAGTCCCATGTAACTGCTCTGTGTTCTATGTGTACAGATTTGTGTAATATAAAGAATAATTTCTGCATTAGAAAAGTAAGAGTAACACTATAATTTGGTGCGTAAAATACACATTTGACCCTTGAACAACATGGTTAGAAGCTTTGATCCCCATGCAGTTGAAAATCCAAGTGTAGGGGCACCAGGGTGACTCAGTCAGTTAACTGGCTGACTCTTGATTTCCTCAGGTCATGAGGTCAGGGTCATGAGATCTAGCCCTGCATGTGGCTCCATGCTCAGCCAGGAGTCTGCTTCTCTCCCTCTCTCTCTGCCACTCCCCTGCTCACAAGTGCACATGTGTGCTCTCTCTTTCTCTCTCTCAAATAAACAAAAAAATCTTTAAAAAAGAAAAAGAATCCAGGTGTAATTTTTGACTCCTCAAAAACTTTACTAATAGCCTACTGTTAATAGCTTAACACATATTTTGCATTTTATATGTATTATATGCAGTATTCTTATAATTACATAAGCTATACAAAAAATATTATTTAAAAATATTGTAAGGGGAAAAAAAATAATGTAAGAGGGACACCTGGGTATCTCGGCAGTTGAGTGTCTGTCTTTGGCTCAGGGCGTGATCCCGGATCTGGGCACCAAGTCCTGCATCAGGTTCCATGCGAGAAGCCTGCTTCTCCCTCTGCCTATGTCTCCACCTCTCTCTCTCTCTCTCTGTCTCTCACAAATAAATAAAATCTTTAAAAAATATTGTAAGAGAAAATACAATGAGGTACTGTACTGACCAGAAAAAATCTGCATGTAAGTGGACCTGCACAGTTCATACCTCTGATATTCAAGGAGTGACTGTAATCCTATATAACCTAATTACTTTATAAAGATTCAATTTTTTAATCACCCTGTATATTGTCACCCCCCCAAAAAAAACTATAAAGTTTAACTGTGTCTGCAAATATTTTCTCATTCTCATGTTACCAAAATGAAAAAGACAAAGTAAAAAAGTACCCTTGGTACATTCAAACAAAAAACTCATTATCATTAAAGAGCTCTTAACTTTAGAAAACCTAACTATTTAAAAGAGAAATGGGGGAATGCCTGGGTGGGTCAGCAGTTGAGCATCTGCCTTCAGCTTAGGGCGTGATCCTGGAGTCCCACATCAGCTCCCTGCATGGAGCCTGCTTCTCTCTCTGCCTAGGTCTCTGCCTCTCTC